TTGTTGGGGGCAATATGCTGACTCTGTAAACCGCTTAGAGAGGGCTGAAAGCCCTAGGAAGCGCTATATAAGTCTAACTGCTATTGCTATTGCTAGGTAAATATTTGTAAAAGTCTTTTTTTAAAAAAAATTCAATTAAAAAAAACCCCAATATATTATACAAATATTATCTCTACGTTACTTCCCACCCTTTCTCAAACAGGCATTCTTGAGATTTCTAAACTACTAAATCTATTTTGAAATGGTGGACCTGTCTCCTAGAAGTTTCGTTTTTATGACAAAATAGTTAACGGGGATGGGGCCAAGAAATGAAAAGGCCTTTGCGCCATGCAGCCCTCAAAAATAATAAGACCTCCCCGAAAATAAGGCCCAGCCCTTACTTTGGGGGTCAAAAGAAAATAAGACCCTGTCTTATTTTTGGGGAAACACGGTATGCATGGACCATATCCACGTCCAAACCGAACGCATGAATGAAAGAGAGTGAATTTCAGAGAAAAGGGAATAAGAAACAAGAGCACATAACCTCTTTTTCTTTCTCTTCCCAACCTTTTCTCGACCCCCCCAATTTCCCCCCCCCCCCGTCATTCATTGCAGCTTAAGAAACTCCTGTTGGCTCCAGCAAATACCCAGCTAAATTACGATGAATGCAGCGGCCTCGGCACACGCAACCATGCAAACGCCAATCACAGGATCCGAACAAACTCCGCGGTGGCCAAGGTACCGTGTTCACCTCTGTGAAGGCGTCCGTGAAGATGAATGTGCGAATGCTCATCCATGCGCTTTCAGCACAGAGCTTAGCCTGGTATAGACAGGCGTCAGCTCTTGGCACCCGGAGAAGCAGATGCCCCACTTTTCTGCTGTACGGGGGCAATAGGTGAAAGCATCGCTCCTTCCGTGAACTTAGAGCACACTGGGAATTTTATAGCTGCTGGGTCACATCTGACCCTCTGGCTGCCTCTGTCCTTCCTGCATGAGGTCAGTCAGAAACTAGAAAGCAAATATTAGTGCGTGTAATAAGCGCACCACCTATGCAATAAAGCTGCATTGCTTTTATTTGGAAGGTGGCTGTTATTTATTTACCATATTTTTCAGCGTATAAGATGCTCTGATGTATAAGACGCACCTAGCTTTTGGGGATGAAAACAAAGGGGGGGGAATCTGCCTCTCAGTAATTTGCCTCCTTACAGCAAACAGCAAACAGTACAGACGATATACACTCTTTGTAGTGTTACATTTCAGTCTATACTCGTACAGATGCTGTTAAATTTGATGGGGCTTTCTGGAAGTATACGTTGTTCTCTGCTATTTAAATGGAGATACAATAGCACTGGGCCTCTTCAGATCAAGCATTTATTTTAAAAACCTTCTTCATTTTGTTTGAGTTTAAGTTGTCCAGAACAGTAATAGAGCAGTCTTTGAAAAATAAATCTAATAATTTGAACATTTGTAGTTATTGACTTACCTCCTTGCAGCAAACAGCAAACAGCCGGTTTCAGTTTAGCCTGATTAGAAGGGGGGGGAAATCACCCTCTGCCTCCCGGCAATTTGCCCAAATCAGCAGGAAAAAAATGCTTTAAAAAGTGAACCTCTTTCCCCCCCCCCCACTTTTTAAAGGTTTTTTTACTACTGGTTTGGGAGAACCTTAGCATTTTTTGCTACCGGTTCTAGCGCAGTGGTTAGGGTGCAGTACTGCAGGCCACTTCAGCTGACTGTTATCTGCAGTTCAGCGGTTCTAATCTCACCGGCTCAAGGTTGACTCA